ACCCTGCTCAGTCGATCTGAAAAAAATCATAGTCTCTGTTGACTTTGCTTGTGTGTCTAAAAAGAAAAAACAAGCTGTCCATAGACAAATGAGAACCTTTACAAGCTGACTGGCTCCGTTTTTGAGTTATTAGAAACTGACTTTGAATAGACAAGTACAGCATTATTCATTTCCATTTTATTCTGACCCCCTGCTGTTTTAAAAGCCAAACTTGTCGTCTAATCTCCTGGTCTCACTCCCTCTGCGGTTCCTGCGAGTCAAAGTGGATTGTGTTGGATCACATATTTATCCTCAGAGCTGTGGTTGGTTTTCAGGCATATTACAAATATACACAATTCAGAGACATGTGAGATTTTGCACACAAATAATGAATTGTAAGGCTGCACCGCTGAGAATCCAACTAAGAAAGGCTCCATAGGAGATCAGGTACAGATGGTGCCTTAAACTAGGCTGAACATTTAAAAGTAAAATTTTTAGATAAGCAAAAACATCTAATTGGATCACTACAAAACCATTTTTAAGAATTACAATAATCTCATTACTACCTGATATTAAGTTACAATATAACTAGCAGATTTATGGAAATAACAAGAGGACAAGAAGTTACAGGAACTCTGTTAAACATTTTGGACATGCTGGAAGTGTTCTAACTTTCTTGTTTGCCAGGCAGTGTGTCACGGTACACTCGTTTGTTAAAATTAAAAAAAGAAGCTTGGTTGATGGTGTGGAAATAAATGCAGCATTTTTACAAGCTATAAACTATGCAAAGAATGTGTTGCAAACTTTTTCCACTATTCACATAATCTCCCCCTAGTGCTTTTACAAAATAACAACACAATGGCCACAAAATGCCTCATACATGCAGGATAAATATAAACTATATTCTACTTTTAATATCATCATTTTTTTTAGTGTCATTTTGCTGGAGAGCCTAAAGTAAAGGTAAAGTAAGTAAGGTAAAAGTAAGAGTCAGAACCTGTACCTAATGGAATTAAATTTTGGTGCTCTGAGTTTGAATAATTATCATTTTTGAGCTCTGAGTATTAAAATGTCTTTGCATAAATAATATCTGTGCGTGCTTTGAGTAACAGCAATTGCATTGATAAGATGGTTTGGCGTTTGTGTTTTTCTTATTTTGTGTTAAAGGTTTGTTATTTAAAAGTCAATTTTCAATGCTGTGAGCACCAGATTTATATTCAAAACAATTTTGTAGCATATTTTTTGTTGCTTTAAATTGAATTGACTCACACACTGATTATTGACCAGCATCAATCAAAACTGACACGTTGCTCAGGTGAAAGTGTTGAATACAGTCTTATTGTGCAACGGGATGCCCTCTGCTCCTCTGAACTCCTCTGCGATGTCATCAAATGTACGACCCTTTGTTTCCGGGAGGCGAATCCAGGTGAAGGTGAAGGCGAGCAGAGCCACGGTCATAAAAAGGAGGTAGACATAAGCACCACAGATTTTCTGTGTGAGAGAGACAGACAAGAATCCTTTTTTAAATGTTTTTATTTGACCTCTGCTTACCTAGGAATGGTCACTTGAGATGGGAATCTCATACCACAAGAGCAAAACAATGTTAAAAAGAGAAGGAAAGAAAGCAAATACAAAAGGTATTGATTTGGTTCACTGGTCTTAATTTCATGTTGGCTGCCATTTCTGCTGCACTATAGGGAACAGATGCTTCTTTTGTTAACTGTAATTTAATTACTTATTACATTATTTCAAGCTGGATTTAAAGGATTTAGCAATAGATTTATATGTTTTTCTATAGATACATATGTGCAGTATAACAGATGGTGCAGATTTATAGCCTGTATTTAACAGCTATTTCTCTGAGGTATAAGCAAACTCACAAAAGCAAACAAGAAATCCACCTTTAAAGTTTCCCCTGAAGTCTTGCTTGGTCATACAGCATGCAGGCCAATGGTATAAATGTTACGCACCAGTAATGGAGGAAAGAGAAGTGCCAGAACAAACTTCCCTCCCCAGTTGAGCAGGCTACTGAAGGCCATGGCTATAGGTCTGCCAGACTGGTCGAACAGCTCGGCAGCAATGAACCAGGAGATCGGACCTGGGCCCAGCTCATAGGCTGAAGTCAGGCAGAAAACCAGCAGCACTTGTAGGCTTCTGAGTTCTGGGACCAGATGCTGCACAGTAAAATAATAAATTGGAAGGATGGTTGTAGGTTAGTCGTGTAGACATGTAGAAAATTCTGTTAGGTTAACATGTAGATGGTGTCTTTCTCTCTAAATTAGACAGTTTTTAGTATAAAATTGTTTAAACTTGAAGCTTCCTTTTCAAACATCCTCCAAGCTATGCCATGGTTTGTTTTTTTATATTATCCATTTAATCATGTCATAAGATCGGGTTCCACGGTTTGCAGAAGTTGGATATACATTCAAAACCAGCACATAACTTTTTTCTGCACAAATGGAAACAACCACACATAGATGATTTTACCAGGACAGAATCGACTACGGTCATGATTAAGTTGCACACTGCTATGGAGATGAAACCAGTCAGGAGCAACCGCCTCCTCCCTGCCCTCTCCATCAGGAAGAACTGGAGAGGAAAAAACAACACACTGGTATTAAAATGCAACACTATCCCTTTTGTGGTTCATGCTGTTAAACCATTCATGAAGAAATAATGACAAAACTTCATGCTTTCTGTGACAAAATCAACAAAATAGGGCACAGCTGATTTACTGATTATATTGAGCAACTTATTAAATATAATAAATAATATTGTTTCGCATTCAAAAACACACTGAAATGCAATATAAAGGATCAGCACTTGGTTTGTACTCACTGCTACCAAAGTGAACGTCAGATTGACGGCCCCAACGCCCAGTGTGAGATATTTGGCCTGGTCAAACTTGGCCTGAAACATTTTGGTGGAATAGTTGATTATCTGGAAGAAAAGCACAGGAATTTAGTTTAGTGAGTAACTGAGAAATATTTCAATGTTTTTTTTTAGGGTTGAGATATTGCCTTAAGCTCTTCTCAGGGTTACAGCAAGTGTGCAAAACTGAAAAAGAAAAGAAGCCAATGTAGAAATGCCAAGTACTCCTTGAGGCAGCCTCCAAAAGTGAGTAAGCCTCCTTTCCATCCAGAGGAAAGAAGCTAAAAATCCCCACAAAAGGGATGGGTGTCTTCATGTAAGATGGTATTGGCCAGTCTCTGCAGCTGTCAGGTATAGAGAGACTGGTAAATAGCAGCTTAACCTGATCAGTTTGCCTGATCACTTCATATTTTGCGTCAGTTTGTTCGTGTCTTTCAGAGTTAGGTTACCATAGCCTGACACCGAGGAAAAAGGTAAAGCTAAAGTTGAGGCCAGGAGCTTTTACTTCATCTATTTCAACACATAGAAAAAGAGAAATATATGTCAGAGAAATATTTTTCAGATTAAGAGGATTTTATCACTGACCGCGTTGAATCCAGAGAGCTGGCTTCCCAGGCTAACAATCAGGACGATAATGATCGGCTGCCTGTAGCTGCGTTTCTTGAAGAAATCCTGGATGGTGACACGACTCTGTGTGTGAGCAGCTTCCTCTTTCATTTCTTCCAGCTCAGCAAATACATTTTCTGCTCTGCCTCTCAGCCTCAGCAGGGCTGCAGGATTAAAGAAACAACTTTCAACATATTCTAAGGGGATGCATTTTAACTTCTGGAACCAACTTGAGAATGTCATAAAAATGAATTCATCTCTTTTAATATATCATAATACAAAAGAGTAATCTCTTTAGAGAGATGATGATTTATTAAACGATATGAACAGTAAGTCCAGTGAGTGGAACCTACCACTTTTGGCCTTGATTTCTTCTTGCCGGTTGATGAGCAGATAGCGGGGACTCTCAGGACAGAAGGGTAGGATCACATACTGTGTGAGGGCCGGGATGAGAGACAGGGACAGCATCATGGCCCAGTCATGCTCTGTGCCCAACACTATCTCGAGACCAGCCACCTGCAGCACACGAGCAGCTAGTTTCATGTCATATCCATGTATCGTATAAATCCTAATTTGTGTATTATGGGATTCTGATGAACTTAATGCATCTCCTTACCAAGAGCAGTAAGAAGGAAGTTAAATGTAAATTAAAGCTCAACTCACCACACCCACCAGGATGCCTGCAGCGAAAGACACCTGGTTCAGTGTAGCAAATGCTCCTCTGAGGTTGGTGGGGGAAACTTCCTGGATATAGAGGGGGTTAAGGCTCATCACCAGGCCACAGAACAGACCGAAAACCAGTCGCCCTAGGATGAGGACCTCAAATGACTCGCTGGCTTTGGAGGCAAACATCAAACATGCTCCGACCACAGACAAACCGTTAACTATCAGGATGGAGTTACGCCTGGAGGGGAACAAGAAAATTTATAAGGAGGGGTGGGGGGAAGCAAGCGCTGTTGGAAACTTTACAAAAGTTAGCTTGGTTTTCTTACCTGCCGTAAGAATCTGCCAGATATTTGACTCCCAGCGAGCCCAGTAAGGCTCCAAAATCTTTAATGCTGACAGAGAGTGACCACAAGAAAGTAAGACTGTGATCTGAGATTGATTGGTTGTGTCTGGCTCTCCAGGTATTGTTGAAAAACTCTTCGATAATCTAAACAACAATGCCAAAGTGAATCAGTTTGCACTGTTAACTCAATTAGATGCAATGACATGTTTTTTTCACACACACATATAAAAAGCGTTTACAAAGATGTGTTTTTATTCCTCTTTTTCCATAGATGACTAATGCAGTGTTCAAAATCATTCATGTGTTGCTTCTTTTGTAACAGAAACACTTCCTCCACAAGAACTATTTCATGAATTATTGTTTTTTGATTTTTGAGTGGGTAGAACAACTGCTTCATTTTGTATAGTTAGAACAGTATACCTGTGAAAATGGAAAACTATTCCAAAAAAGGGAGCCAAATCCAAAGCTGAGACGGAGAGTTACCTTATTTAGTGCTTTATTGAGGCTCTGTAATATGTTTGACAGGCAGCATGCTTTCCAGCATTCCCCTCTGCATAACTGTTATATCTGGACAATGTAGGCCTTTTAAGGAATATCAGCCAGACGAGAATGTCTACTTTTTGATGTCTGGAGTTATGTTTTGTTGCAGTTTTATACTTCCAAAAATAATTCTATTGATCAATGCAGATTGTTTTGTATAGATTTTAATTTACACATCACACTTATAATACAATTTGAAACATAAATGTGTGTGCTGTCCCTCAGATGCTGCTAGCTCTGTTCACCTTGGCTGGAGCGTTGATGTTGCCAGTGTGGTAACCAATCTGCAGGGAGCCGATCACCGCTCCCAGGATGGACGTCACAAGCGTGGCTGTCAGATGGCTCTGCCGCAGAAACAGAATTGAGGTTAGCACCATTTCTTGTTTTATATCTTATAATTCATAACTAATAAGAGAACGCTACCTCTTAAAGCAACATTAAAAAGCTTTATATGATTCTTAATTAGGTCATTTTAACCCTTTACATTCTTGTTTTTTCGTTCTTATTTTGGATTGACTACAATCATCATAAAAATCCAAAGTAGTTATGATTAAGCAGATAGAAGACAAATACTCAATCCATTACTGATTTCTAACCTTATGACCTCAGTTCATTGATTAACATTCCTGATCCCTCCCATGATTCCAGCAACCAGGCCAATCATATGACTACTTGTAAAAGTCCAGCTTGGCAAGAACAACAAGGGTTTGGCGCACTGGCAACACGTCCAGAGTTTTAGTCGAGTAAGTGATACTGCCTCGCTATGTTCATTCTGCCTCATTCACTCATTCATAGAAAAGCATTGATTCAAACAAACCTCCTGAGATGCCATTTGATTGTCTGAGATGGTGTATCACTCCCTCGGGGTGTATGTGCATTTATTTTTCCTCCTGGTTTTGTTATCTGTAAAAACCAGATAGTTGGGAAAAAGTCTAGCAGTTGTAGTTTAGGAAGCATTAGTGGTAGTATAGGAGTTTGGCGCAAAATGATAAGAAAAAGACTCTGCTAACAACCAGAGACACTGATATTTTTTTCTGCAGTGCAAATTTCATATACATATATATATATCAAATACAGTGCATATGACTAAATGTTTTTGAACCACAGTGCGGTTCCCCTACAGCATCACAAAACATGTTTCATCAAATAAAAATCAAGCAAGTATATGAAACCATATACTTACTGCATACAAATATTTTTGCTTGTCTTTTTGCATGCTTACCTGTGTTACTGCATCAACCAGACTGCTTGATTTGTCCCGAAACAAAGTTGGAAGACCATATCATCTCTATAAGATTTTCCTCACCACTGTTCCTGAGTGTCCTACGTTGATCGCTTCTTCATCCCTGAGTTTTAGATATGACTGTGTATCTAAACCAACTACCAGCTGAAACTTCACACACACACACACATTGTACCAGTGACCACAGTGACGAAGTCACACCTAGCTGGTGAATTTGAGGTATATCTGATAAAATGGCAGCAGTGGGCCTCCTCTGGTTCTCATGAATCAGCTGATCAACATCCTGAGTTCCCACTGACTCTGGGTCTGCAGCACTCAAACCTCAAATTGCTTTGAAAACAGCAAAACTGCTCCCAGTTAAGGTTTTAAGAGGAACCGTTTGGTGCTTTGAGTAGGCCACGATTTATAATCGCATTTATCAAAGATGGAAAAAGTCAGGTACTTTTGTTATAGTGTGGCATGCTAAAGTTTATCAAAGCCTAAATGTCCGTGTTATCACGAGGTCGTACTGCATTCTTTGCAGGGTTTCCCATGCTTTGGCTGATATGTTCTTCGGGCACCTGGTAGCATTTTCTGTCTTGGAATCCCTCAAGTGACACACATCTGTGCATGGTAGTTTGTTTGTTTTTTCAGGCTGGAGTCTTTTGGAAGTATAAATCTGTATTCTTGTATGGTTTGCCCTTTTAAAACAAATTGCTTGAGAGAATTTAATTGAAACAACAAAGATTAACTACAATGGGAGGTTAACTAATTGGAAATTTAGGGTAAAGAACTTCTGCTGAAGAGGTGGCATGTGGATGGAAACGACAACACCCATCACACAATGCTGTCACAATTTAGGGCCTCAGGGCTTTTATTGATAATACTGTGATGAAGTATAAGCATGTATGTGTACTTTCACTCCTCTTCCTCCTGCTTCCATCAGACGAATACTAGCACGGAAATGCAAGTTTAGTCTCAAAATGTCAGTATGTTTGCTGA